GAGTTGTATAATAAAGTGGTCCAGAGGGTGGGGTAGGGGACTGTGTAACAATGAAATAATTTTTTTTCCAAAGAAAAAAGTGAACTTGGGGGGACGAGGGACAGGGAGGAAAATGTGTAACAATGAATGAATGGGGGGGAAGAATATGTTCAAACCTGTTAATACCAAATAAAGTATACATTTTCTTAAAAAAACCACCACAACAACAACAACTAAAAGAAACACCACAAAGACAAAGGAGGAAGAAAAGACTGAGATGGATGTTGGAAGAGATTCTGAATATTGCACTAGAAAAGCACAGAAGCCAATGCAAAGGAAAGAAATCAGAATGTTAAGAAACTGAACAGAAGATTTCAAAGGGCAGCTCAGGAAGACAAAGCAAAATATTATAATGAAATGTGCAAAGAGCTGGAGTTGGAAAATCAAAAAGTATCAACTTGCTCCGCGTTTCTTAAGCTGAAGGAACTGGGGAATAAATTTAAGCCTCAAGTTGCAATATTTAAGGATGCTATGGGCAGAATATTGAATGATTCAGGAAGCACCAAAAGAAGATTGAAGGACAGGCACTGTCTGAAAATCACATGCAGCTTTATCCGTGTCCGCAGGGGAGATTTGGTGCCTCGAGTCATCAGCAGCCTTGTGGACAACTGAAACGCAAGCCCAAACAGGCACCACAGACCCCTGCCCCTGTGTGCAACTCTCAGTTCGGCCTCTGATCCTCTCTCCCTCCAGAGGTCGCTGATAGTTATCTGAGCCTGCAGGTGACACCATCAGGACCATGGGAGGACTGGCCCTCCTCATATCAACCAAAGGTGTTCATCCTCAAATAAAGCAGTTTATTATGAGAGGGGAAGAAGAATACACAGAGTCACTATACCAGAAAGAACTGGCTGACACAAAAGAATTTCATGAAACAACATATGACAAAGAGGCAATGGTGATGAAAGAGGAAATCCAAGCTGCTCTGAGGGGATTGGGGGAACAGCAACAAAACAAATAACACAAAGGTCCCAGGAGTTGATGGTATAAAAATGGATATATTTCAACAAATAGATGCAGACCCTGGCTGTGCCAAGAAATCTGGAGGACAACTACCTGGCCAACTGACTGGAAGAGACCCATATTTATTTCCATTCCAAGAAAAGATGACCCAACAGAGTGTGGAAATTATTTAACAATATCACTAATATCACATGCAAGCAAAATCCTTCTGAAGGTGATCCAAAAATGACTGGAACAGTATATAACAGAAAATTGCCAGAAGTGCAAGCTGGGTTTAGAAGAGGCATGGTACTAGGAACACTATAGCCAATGTCAGCTGGATCTTGGCTGAAAACAGAGTACTAGAGGAATATCTATGTATTATTGACTAAACAATGGCATTAGGCTGTGTGGATCACAACTAATTGTAGCTAATCTTGAGAAGAATGGGAACCCCAGAACACCTAATTGTGCCCATGTGAAACTTATACTTGGACGAGGAAGCAGTCCTCAGAACTGAGCAAGGAAACACTGCACAGTTCAAAATTACTTTTTCAGTCTACATGGAGAACAGATAGATCAGTTGGAGGCTGGACTTTATGAGGAAGAATGTGGCATCAGGATTGGAAGAAGATTCATCAATAACCTTGTTTGCCAAAACTGAGAAAGACCTGAGCGTTTGTTGCAGAAGGTAAAAAACTGCGGTCTCCAATATGGATTGAAGTTCAAATCGAGAAAACAGAGATTCTCACCACTGGGCCAATTGGCAGCAACATGATTGATGGGGAAGAGACTGAGATTGTTAACAATTTCTATTTGTTCATTTCCACATCAACACCCTTGGCACCAGCAGTCAGGAAGTCAAAAGACAAATTGCATTGGGTTAAACCTGCTGTCAGGGGCCTCTCTAAAGTACTGAAGAGCAATGATGTCAGTCTGGAGATTAAGGTGGAGATCCAGGCCATGGTCTTCACAATTACTTGCTGTGCATCAGAGAGCTGCGCAATGACTAAGGATGGTAGACGAAGCATCAGGGTCTTTAGGTTGTGGTGCTGGAGAAAAGTATTGAACATACCATGGACTGCCAAGAATATAAACAAGTCTATCTGGTTTGGAGGCAAGGATTTTGAAGCTCTGTCTCACATGTTTTGGGCATATTGCAAAGAGGGACCAGTCTTTGGAGAAGGAAATCATGTTTGGCACAGGAGAGGAAGATCCTGAATGAGATGAATTGGCACAGTAACTAGAATAATGGGGGCAGGAGTGTCGGAAGCAGTGAGACTAGCTCAGAATAGGGCAGAGTTCAGAGCTGTTCTGCATAGGATCACTATGAGCTGAAAATTACTCAACAGCATATAACAGCAACATGATTAATATTGGCGTTTTCATACCTCTTATTTTCAAGTTCTTAGTGCTTTTCATTCAGCTAATCAGTCAAATAATATCAATTGATTGATCAATGAGAAAAATCATAATTAAGTATAAAATAGTTATAAATAAGTTTACAGATAAAGAA